CCTTCTTAATTGCAGGACATCCCAGCAAGTGAGATCCTGTCTTTACATGACCAAATAATGGTGGAAGTGCCCAATGTCAGCCCCGTTCAGCACAGTGTATGTGTGCACCTTGAGGAGAGAGCTGTCCAATTTGACAAGGAAAACGTAGAGCATAATGCCAAAGGCCAAGCTTCATATGAACCTGATGCTCACCTGCAAAATTTCCCTGTAAAATTTCCAAAACAGAGGCAAGAATAGCCGTTAGTGTCACTAATGCAGGTGGCCCCATTTGCACACTGGTGACTCCGGCAATTGTCTATAAACACTTCACAGTTCACACCAGTGTATCCAGGCTCACATCTGCAGTGGTAGGCTGCAACTCTGTCAGAGCAGTTGCCATGGATACAGGGATTTGAAAAGCATTCATCAATGTTGAATTCACAGTGTGTCCCTGACCATCCCAAGGGACAGGAGCAGTGATAAGAGCTGTAGATGTCGTCACAATTTCCTCCATGCAAACAGGGGTTGGAGTTGCAGGCATTTAACTGCAAACAGCCAGGAACCACTGAATTTGAAGAGATTTTGAGAAACTGCTCTTCCTGAGGTTTATTAGTAAAACCACGAACATTTTCGAAGTAAGAGAGGTAAATGCCTCCAATTTCTATTGTACTTAGACACCCTTGCAGACCCTTCCTATTGTCAATGGCTCGGTCACCCACATAAATGTCTGTATTATCCTTCAAAAAGTTGAGGCTTCCAGTAGCAATTGCACTGGTCACAAAAGGTGTTTGGTTGTCCACTTCCATTTGCCACCTGGAGGCTTGGGCTAGTGGGTCTGTCATGGAAAGAGTCACTTGGTGCCATGTGCCATCGTTCACTGACTGCAAGCTTGTCAGACTCAGCACAGAAAAACTGTTGCCACTTTGCAGTTGAAAGAATAATCTGGAATCTTGAATGCTAACATTAACAAAAGCAGGCTCTTTTACTGCATGTAATATTATCACATTTGTATCCCTTGTTCTGAAACCAAATGTGATATTGGTGAGATCTCTGGTAATATTCCCATTGCTTCTGAATAATATTTCACTGCTTTGTCCATTGAAAACAGCATTTGCAGTACCTAAAGAGAGAAGGCAATACTAATTAGCAACTTTATTAAATCTATAATGTTTGCTTAATTACCTTTATTAATAGTAATGATCATCGTGTTAATGACATTACATGGTAGATACTGTGCTAGTTTTTTAATATTATTTCTAACAAAACTCTTGAATACAGGTATTATTATAATTATTGCCATCATCATTATTATTATTATCTCCATTCTATGGAAGAAGAAATTGAGACTCATGGAAGTTAAGTAATTTGCTCATAGTCATGTAACTAGTAAATTATAAAGTCAGAATGTCAAACCTGGATGGTCTGATACCAAAACCCAAACCATAAATTTCTTTTCCATTAAAATCCTAATGCATGCCAATTTTTATTCTGCATTTGCTCCTAAAACTAAAGCATTGACTATGCATTTTATACAGAACGAAATTGAACACAAAGAAATCACAAATCTAGCTATGCTATGGTGACACAGAGAATTAACAGTGGAGTCTGGTTTCTGATTAAGCCCTCCAGTAAGCAGTTAAAAGTAGTATTTCAAGTAACTGATTTATTTATCTGGCAAAACTCCATTTATGTGCCAAGCTTCCAACTCTGTACCTAAACCCAAATAGCTTTATGTGGCTGGGAAGAAATATGTAATCATATGAATAGCTCTCAGTTTATACCCACATACTGTATGTGAGCACAGCACTTTGGGACAATCTTATTTCATTTTTCTATTAAAAGTATTTTCCCCATTCTACAACAGTTTGTTCTATGTCTTAAAATATCGAACCCTCTATCAGCTTATGATCTCTGTAGTGAATTGAATTATGTCTTCCCAAAACTCACTGAAGCTTGAATTGTGTCCCCCAAATTTTATGCGTGTACAGGACGTGGAACATGGAACAAGCTACCTGCTTGGCCAGCTTTGAGATTTAACGCCTGCCCTGCTGGATTTTGGACTTGTTTGGGACCTGTTACCCCTTTCTTTGGCCTATTTCTCCCTTTTGGAATGGGAATAGGTATCCTATGCTTGTCCCACCGTTGTGTCTTGGAAGTAGATGACTTGTATTGATCTCACAGATGGGACTTTGAACCTTGGACTTTTGAGTTAAAACAAGTTAAGACTTTGGGGATGAAATGCACGTATTTGCATGTGAAAAGGACGTGAGTGTTTGGGGCACCAGGGATGTAATGTAGTGGATTGAATTATGTCCCCCCAAAACTCCCTGAAATTTGAATTGTGTCCTCCAAGTTTTATGTATTAGAAACTTGGCCTCCACCATGACTGTTGAGAGGGTGGGAGATCCTATTATGATAATGGAAAGGTGGAGCCTTGAAGAGGTGATTGGATTGTAGGACTGTGCAGTAGTGAGTGGTTTGAAAATGGTGGTCGGGGCGTGGCTCTAAGGCTTTAAAAGAAGAGAGAGGAGAGTCTTGTCTCTCTCTGCTCTCTCTGTTCCACCATTTCACAATATGTTAATTGAAAGGTGGAGCCTTGAAGAGGTGATTGGATTGTAGGACTGTGCAGTAGTGAGTGGTTTGAAAATGGTGGTCAGGGGCGTGGCTCTAAGGCTTTAAAAGAAGAGAGAGGAGAGTCTTGTCTCTCTCTGCTCTCTCTGTTCCACCATTTCACAACGTGATACCCTGTGTCACTGGAGTCACCACCAAGACCCTCGCCAGGTGGACTCTGGACCTCCGAGCCTCCGAAGCTGTAAGCAATAACTTTTGCACCATTTCACAACGTGATACCCTGTGTCACTGGAGTCACCACCAAGACCCTCGCCAGGTGGACTCTGGACCTCTGAGCCTCCGAAGCTGTAAGCAATAACTTTTGTTTTCTTATAAATTTCTTATAAACCCAGTTCCAGCTATTTTGTTATAAGCAACAGAAACGGACTAATACAATTTCCCATGATACTTTCATGAGAAAATAGAAGAAATAAGAACCGCCCTGGCTCTCTATTTTCCCAAACCTGGGACCCTAACAGCGCCAGGCTCCACTCTGCCTTCTATCCTGTTATAGTGGATGTTCTGTCTTTATTCTCATCCAAAGTCAAACCCGTCCGTCATGCACTGGGCCCCATTAACTTTTACCTTTTTAGGCATTATTTCTACAAACCTCCATTTTCTGTCCTGCATCACCATTTTCCACCCATTTTAGTTTCTCATCAGCTTAGAAATATGCTGTACGTGTTTCAATTGTAAAAAATAAAACTGCACGCAAGACCCAAAAGCACTACCCTGACAACCGCCATCTTGCTGCTTTCTTCTGTCTCTTTTCTCTTTACCAGCAAAACTTCTAATAGTTTCATGTTCCATTGTCTCCACTTTCTCAACTCCCATTGTCTCTTGAATACTTGACACTCAGGCTTTTGTCTAAAGCCACCCTCGTCAAGGCCACAGTGCGTTCTGTGTTACTCAATCCGCTCATTTCATTCCACTTTTCAGTAGCAACTGATCTTGAAACACTGTCATTCCTCCCTTGTCAGGCACCACACCAAACCACCATCATCTTTCCGATAGACTGATTACTTCTTAATGTCCCCACTGCTTTGCAGATCAATGTAACAACCACTGTTTAGCTCAAGACCTTCATTAGTTACCATCACATCTAGAAAGAAATCTTAAACTCTAAACATACCCACAAGAGTCTATGTGATCTGACCCCGAATTAACTCTCCAGTTCCAGTTCCTAGCAGTCCCTTCCTCATTTGCATGTCACGGTCACAAAAATTTTTTTTGTCATTCATTAAAGACACCAATCTTGTTTTCAACCCAGGCCTTTTATACTTGCTGCTACTTACAGCTGGAGTATCCTTTCCTTAGACCTTCCCGTACCTGGCTCTTCCTCAAGTCAGTATCTGCTCCAATGTCACTTCCTCTGAGAAGCCTTCCCGGACTACCCATGTTGGAATAGCTTCTCCCTAACCCAGGCCTTTTATACTTGCTGCTACTTACAGCTGGAGTATCCTTTCCTTAGACCTTCCCATACCTGGCTCTTCCTCAAGTCAGTATCTGCTCCAATGTCACTTCCTCTGAGAAGCCTTCCCGGACTACCCACGTTAAAATAGCTTCTCCCCGCATCCGCTCTCTATTCCATTACGCTGCTTTATTTTCTTCATAACATTTTTTACCATTTGAAATTAAGCTGTTTATTTGTCTACTTCCTCCTTGACTGTCTTTCTGCACTGGAACATAAACTTTATGAGATCTGTAATCTTCTCTAAGTTATCACTGTACACGTACGCCTAGAATATTGCCTGACCTCCAGTAGGTGCTCAGTAAACATTATTCAATAAATACTCTATGAAAAGAACTCTTTTATCATTTATTCTGGAAAGTGAGATAATGATTAGAAACCACGGCAGGAGGAAGCGTAGTATTCAAGCGAATAGTTTAAGTGTATTATTTGACTGGATTAAAATTTTACTTGATTTTCTGATTTTTGTGTTTTTTCCACCAAATTTGGGGGTGGGGATTAGGAAGAGAAAGAGCAACAAGTGTCTGATGAGATGTTTTTAAGTAAATGCTAAGATGACCGGTCTCATTGGTTCTCACTCATACTGTCTGGAATGCTATATAAATTCATTTTACTAACACTGCTAAACACACCAAAATCACTTGTAATCTGGGCAAAAACCGCAATGCATATAACATTTATCTTTTGCCTTTTCTTCAGGGAACTTTGTCATCATAAACATACCTCTAAGGTGAGTTGTACATTTTAAAAGCTTGGTTTAAATCTTGGTAGGGCAAAAAGATAGAGAAGATTAAAGTCCTTAAGGCAAAATCAGGGTAATGTATGGGCTGTACTCTCAAGTGTATGTTGTTCTATTAGATCTAATCTTCTCGATATATGTTACTTGAAAAGAAAATACAATAGGTCACACGACCACATAAAATTAAAATTATACACAACAGCAAAAGTGAATTCTAGTGTTCAAATCTGTCAATTAGGAATTGATCTACAATTCCCGCTGCAAACTTCCTATTGGTTTATAGTTTCTCTCTTCACTAAGATAAGTCATACTTTAAAAAGAATGCTACTGGGACTTCCGGGGATGTCCGGGACAGACTCTCTGCTCTTCCCGTAGTGGCGATGCCGTAGCAGTGTTCGCTTCACTTCCTTCTGAGGCACGTGTGTCCAAACCCTAAGCTGCTCTGTGTGGAGACTGAAGAGCAGTGGGCAGCAGGGCTATCGTTCTCGGGCTGCCACTGTTTCTAGAAATCCTATTCCTTATTCCCTGTGAAAGTGTTCAGAACGATGTGAATCCCTTTGCAGAACACAGCTGAGACTAACAATGTGAGTATTTCCATCCAAAGATTAACAGAAAATTTAATAATTAATAAGTCCTTTTAATCAAGTAGTTCAGAGGTAGGATAATGGAAGAGGTTGCATTTAAAAATCTGGGCCGACCCCATGGCACACTCGGGAGAGTGCGACGCTGGGAGCATAGCGGTGCTCCTGCTGTGGGTTCGGATCCTATATGGGGATGACCGGTGTGCTCACTGGCTGAGTGCGGTGCGACCCGTCACGGGAAAAAAAAAAAAAAATCTGAGCCACATTAGAAACCAGATTACATTCTTTTTGCCAACTCATCATACTTTCTATGTGTGTAGTACATATTTCTTAAATATGAAACAAAAGTATATATATTCTTCTAGAAAACTTCCCCAGATGTATATACCTGGAATATTCCACGTATATATGTCTGTATGAATTCCATACAGATCTAAGGACAGAATACAGATTCTAAGGAAAGAATTTAATCAGATTCTAAGGAAAGAATTTAATACAGATTCTAAGGAAATAATATTCCAGTTACATAGACATATATATATGTATGAATTTCATAAAGACCCTTTTAATATATGTTTTTAAAATATAGAAACATAAAAGTAAACATATTCTTCTCTTTTCTTCAGTTACTTCGGGGTCCAGTCTAAGTAGGATGCTGCTACTACCGACCTGAGGCCAATGTGTTCTCTACTTCCATTTCATTATTTTAGCGCAGTGTTTTCTAAGGTATTTGATGTAATTTTTTTATTGTAAGCTCATGATGTACTTAATGCGTAGAGCAGTTAAGTAAAAATATAGACTTAATTTGAAGAAAAATAACATCAATTTATCCATTTAACAAATATTTGTTGACAACCTGCTATATGTTTGGCACTATTCTAAGATAAACCACATAGAAAATGTCCTTGCCTCATGAAATGAAAGGAAATTCATATTCTCGTGGGAAAAGAGATGATAAATAAATAAACAAATACATATGTAACAAAATATCAATAAGAGTTATGAAGAAAAATAAAGCTAGATAAGAGGACATTTGGGCCTACACCCAAAGGAGGTGATGATGGCAACCTGGGAAGCTCTAGGTTAGGAGAGCTCTAGACAGTGTGTGGTGGGCTGCTGGAGCCTGACTGAGTGGGGTAAAGGAGAAAATGGAGTAAGACATTGAAGCAAATTGAGGACAACTCTTTAGAGGTTTTTCTCTCACTATAAAAGGAAGCAGAGGAGTGGGATGATAGCCAGTAGGGACGGGGTGGAGGGATCAGGGAAATTTTTCATAGTAAGGAAATTTGATGTTATGTTTATATGCTGATGGAAAAATTGATGATGCTGAAGAGTGAGAGAAAAATGTTAGGAGCAAAATCTGAATGAGAGGAAGAGATTGAATTCAGTGCAAACACAGAGGGTTGGCTGTAGATTGGGCTGTGTATTATTTCAAGTAGGAGAGAAGATAGAGTATATATAATACTATGGTTAGTTTGTGGATATGTCAAAAGTGTGCATGCAGTATTCACATTGCTAGCACTGGAGAAATTGTGTTCTGCTGTATTGAAGATGAGCAGGAAAACCTTTCACACTGAGGGAAATACTCACAGCAAGCATCGACTGAGTACCTGATGTGTTTAATTCTTTATGCATAAGGTCATATAATCATTACAAAAAAACCTACAAAGTAAATATCGTTATTCCTATTTCACAGGTGAGGAAGTTTTAGATTATGAAGATCGGGAGAATTTCCTAAGGCCTCATACTTAAGAGATGGCAGTGTGCTGACACTAGGACCTTTACTCTGTATCTACCAGGGAAGGAAAGTCAAATATTATCTGGTTAATTATTTCTTCAGAAATCAGCTGTAAATGATCAAGGGTCTAGGTTGTGTTGCTGTGACCTCCATTTACCATCCAGACATCCAGGAGCAGGATGAGGCCAATTAGGTCTATTATATGACTCGTGTCAGGCTTATTTCACTACTCATGGTAGGGAAAACAACCGCAAATTTCTTTAATAAGCTGAGTTTGCCTATAGTCTTGCTCTGTGTTTCCTCTTGGAACAATTTAATTGGACGGATGATAGGTTTGAAGTCTACATACATTCAAATCCTTGAGGCACCCGCTGGCACTGGGTTCCAGGAGGACACGGGCTGAGTTCACACCACTGAACTTCCTCACAGGCTTTCCCAGCTGTGTTTGCAGGGCAGGAGCAGGAGAAGTCATCCCACAGGGAGTAGCAAACACCCCCGTTGTGACAGGGGCTGCACTGAGCAGAAAAGAGATTGAAGGCATAAAAAGCACTGGCAACTAAATACCGAAATGTTGAAGCGGAGACCACATATCTCTTATTTTAAAAATGCTAATTTCCCTACATCTTTACGTTTGAAACTTTTAATATCCATTGTTAATTAAATAGAATGAAACTGACTACTACCATTGCCAAATTCTTTCTAAAAGGGCAGGAGTGGGAGGAGAGAAAGAGAAAATATGAAATTGGTCTATAACACAAGGAGGATTTTTAAAGTATTAACAATGTTCTCTGTAATTTATAAATTACCAGGCACTTCCACATGCACTAGGGATTATTACTCCTGTTTTCACAGATGAGGAAACTGAGGCCCCACCACGGGCTCAACATCTTATAAAGAAGTGCAATAGCGAAGCTTGGTATCTAGATCCTCAGTGTACCAATTCAGGGATCATTCCCTCAGTCTCCCTCAGTTGTTTGCCTCTGAATCCGAGACATACTATTATTATTTCAGTTAGCCCAAGATCACTCAAAAATATTCAAAATAAAAGTTTTTAAAAAGAATTTCTTCGAGTCTGGACTGTGTTTATCCAGGTCTACTACTAACATGTGACTTAGGCTAGTTCCATAACCTTTGTAGACTTTAGTGTATCTGTAAATAACATGAATGGGATAACAGCAGTGCGGGAGTCCTTCAACAGAATCACATGGATTAACCCATGTAAAACAGTACCTGACATAGCGGAAGTTCTTCTATAACAATGTTGCAATGACTCATCTGTGTACATTAAGACATAAGCCTGGTACATGGCAATAGTTGGAGCTCAACAAATGTTCGACACGTATCAATGTGTTTCCTTCTTTTCCTTAGAAAGGTCATGCAAAGCTGACAATTTCATACATTTAAGCACTTCTTAGAAGAGCATACAAAATATATAAAGTAAATCATCATTCTTAAGTAATTCGATTGTTGTCAGGGTAGGAGAAGCATGTAGCTGGAGTAATCTTGGTTGGTTAAATAGACTATAATGACAGTAAGATCAAGGCCATATTTTTCTAGGCTGGCTGGTTAGTACATGGTGCTGATAACATGAAGATCCAAGGTTCGAACCCTGTACTGGCCAGCAAAAAAAAAAAAAAAAAAAAAAGATCAAAGTCATATCCTTTGGCTCAATATAAATTCTCTAGTCTTGCTGGGAAGATACAGATGAAGCATGATTCTTATTCTATGGCTGGAGGGTCAGTAAAATCACCTTCATGTACAAAGAATAATTTTAATAAATTACCGATCATAAAATACAAGTTTAGCATACAATACGTATATAGTTGCTATGAATAATCCTACCTTGCAGATGTTGTCTCCAGGACAGCCTTGGGTCACATTGACAAGGATTGGATTGTAGGATACATTGTTTGCCGAATTTGGGAAGAAATCCAGATTCTGGTTGTTTAATCTTATGTGAATAATCCTACCTTGCAGATGTTGTCTCCAGGACAGCCTTGGGTCACATTGACAAGGATTAGATTGTAGGATACATTGTTTGCCGAATTTGGGAAGAAATCCAGATTCTGGTTGTTTAGTCTTATATCTTGGATACAGCCTTTGAAGAACCCACCATTAACTTCAGTGTCCTGCCTCTGAGGCAGGCCTCCAACATAGATAACATCTCCTCTTTGGATCTTCCATGTGGGAACAGAAATAAATCCTAGGTAATGTGAAGACTGATACAGTTCAATTTTGTTTGATCTGAATTTCAAAGATATCAAGTGGACATTTCCATCACTAAGAACAAATTTGCCCACTACTTTGGGAGAGCGTGGAGTCTGCATTGCTAGCCTGCCATGCTCTAGCCAGACGCGGACGTACTGATATGTGCTGTTTTCCAAAGCCAGGAGTAAGCCTGATGGCCGATGTGTTCGGACAAACATGGAGAGGCTGACGTTCTCTCCATAACTCCCATCAAGATTAAAGACAGCGTATCCAGTGGAGTCACCCTGGCCAAATCTGCCTGCCACATACTCTTCGATGTCAACATAAAAGAGAGGAAACAAACAAGAAACACTGTGAGACTCAAAAGCAGGAAGAGATGAAAGATGAAGATCTTATACACACACACACTCTCTCTCATACATACTTTTTAAAGTTCAGGACAGGCTTATTCAGTAGAATAACAATTTGGCCTCATTTTCTGATCTTCTTAGTTTATACTGTCCCCCAAATAATTACATTTTGGTTTATAGTTTATAGTTGAGGTCCAATGATCACAAAAGAGAAAAAGATCTCTGCATTGATAAACTAATGAACCTCCCCTTCACTGCCCTAAAATGCTGGGACTTAACGGTGGAATATAAGACACTATTGTACTCCAATTTATGGAAGAATTTTTGGAGCAAGAGCACCTCATGCAACATCTATAAGCAGACTGTTCAGACAGTTGTAATCTTTACTATCTGGAGGCTGAAGCAAACATGCTATTAAACCCAATTACTCTTTGTAAAGGACATAAATAAAGAATTAGACTGGCGCATCCTCTTTTGGGATGACATCCCACATAATAGGAGGCAAGGCTGTTGAAGAAAGGAATAGGTGTGCTCTTCCTCTGTGGTCCTGATTGGGAGCAGGAGAGGTACAGGAGACAGAGAAGTGGGGGACGAGGCTGGGTGTTAAACCCACCCAGCATTTCCTGTGGTCTGGGGATATGCACTTATGTGGCCATACTATTGATACGCGTCACCTCAAGAAACCCTTGAGCTGTATAAAAATGAAACCTGACATTTAATAACATTGATAATACAGGAGGAACAAAAATCACTGTCCTCATAAAACTTACATTCAAATTGGGGGAAACAGGTATGTCAGGTGGTGAGAAAGGTTGTGTAGAAATTAAGTCAGGTAGAGAAAAGAGATAGGGATATTTGGGGGTAGGGTTGGAGTTGTTATTTAAAATAGAATAATCAGGAAGAATTCTCTGAGAAGTTGAGATTTGAGTAAAAATCCAAAGTAAATAAGAACATTATTGTGATAATTCAAGATAGAGATGATGATGCCTTGCACCAGTGGTAATGTGGAGGTGGTGACAAGTGATCAGATTTTCAAAATATTTTGAAGGTAGAACTGATGGAATTTTCTAGAGTTAATCCATCTCCAAGGTTTTTGGCCCAAGCAACGAGAAGAATGGAGTTTCCATTTGCAGAGATGAGGAAGAAAAGTGGAGGAGCAGATTTGGGGGGACGTGAGAGTCCATATTAAATTTGACATGCTCTAGTGGATGTCGACTAGCAGGCAGTTGATACGGAGGCTCAGGGGAGACGTTGTGGGCTAGCTCTAATAACTTGGGATCTGTCAGTATACATAAGGTACTTAAAGCCACAAGACCAGAGGAGATCACCATGAGAGCAAATTCGGGGAGAAAACAAGAGGCTCAAGATCTGAGCCTTCCGGCAGTGGACAACTGGGGGTGAAGGAGATGATGAAAGAGCAGCTAGTGAGACAAGAGGAGGACTACGGGGCCGGGATGCCCCATAAGCCTAATGAGGAGTGAGTTTTCAGGAGGAGGATGTGTTCAGTTGTGTTAACTGTTACTGAGAGCTCAAGTAAGATAAGGACTGAGGACTGACTATCGAATTTTGCAATCTAGAAATCATCAATGAACTTGACAAGAGCAATATCTTAAAAATATTGCTGTCTTCATGTTTTTAAATCCCAGTCCTGTCCAGATGAAAAA